ACAGGTGAAAAACCGTTTTCATGCAAGACCTGTGGAAAATGTTTTCATCAAAAACAGCTTTTAACTCAGCACACTGCGATTCACAAAGGTGAAAAGCCTTTTATGTGTGTGATCTGTAACAGGTGTTTCGCTTTAAAATCTGCTCTCAATGTTCACACGAGAACTCAAACAGGTGAAAAGCCTTTTTCCTGTGTGAACTGTGGAAAAAGTTAAACTGTAAAATATTCTCTCGATGTTCACATGAGATCTCATACAGGTGAAATGCCGTTTCCATGTGAGGCCTGTGGTAAAAGTTTTTGTGACAAACAGGCATTAACTTATCACATGAGGATTCACACCGGTGAAAAGCCGTTTTCATGTCTCAACTGTGAAAAATGTTTTTCAGTAAAATCTCAATTAACTCGGCACATGAGGATTCACACAGGTGAAAAGCCGTTTTCATGCGAGACCTGTGGTAAAAGTTTTCATCAGAAACAGCTTTTAACTCAGCACATGATGATTCACAAAGTTGAAAAATTGTTTATGTGTGAGATCTGTGAAAAACGGTTCACTTTAAAATCTGCTCTCAGTGCTCACCTGAGAACTCATACTGGTGAAAAGCCGTTTTCATGTGGGACCTGTGGTAAAAGCTTTCCTGTCAGACGGACTTTAATTGGTCACATTAGGAGTCACACTGGTGAAAAGCCTTTTGTGTGGGTGACTTGTGGACAGGGTTTTTGTACCAAACAGATTTTAACTCATCACATGACGATTCACACTGGTGAGAAGCCGTTTACATGTGTGACCTGTGGAAAATGTTTTCGTCTAAAATGTAATTTAACTCAGCACATGACGATTCACACAGGGGAAAAGCCGTTTTTGTGTGTGAACTGTGGAAAGTGTTTTCGTCAAAAATGCCAATTACCTAAGCACATGAAGATTCACACCGGTGACAATCCCTTCTCATGCGAGACCTGCGGAAAAAGCTTTAGTCTAAAAAATCGTTTAACTGACCACATGAAGATTCACACAGGTGAAAAGCCTTTTGTGTGTGTGATCTGTGAAAAGCGTTTTGTTTTTAAATGTACTCTCAATGTTCACAAGAGAACTCATATGGGTGAAAAGCCGTTTTCATGTGAGACCTGTGGAAAATGTTTTAGTGGAAAACTAGTTTTAACTCAGCACATGATGATTCACACAGGTAAAAAGCCTTTTGTGTGTGTGATCTGTGGGAAGTGCTTTCGTCTAAAACATCATATTAATGGGCACATGAGAAGTCACACTGGTGAAAAGGCGTAGAAGTGTTTTTCATGTGTGAGCTGTGTTAAAGTTCATTGTAAAAGTCATTTGAATAAAAACTAGTTATAGACTGAAGGACTTTCTTGTTAAAATGAAGAAATTGTTTAATGTATTAAATGTAATTGTTTGGATCTTGACATCTGGATACTTAGAGATGTGCATCTCTGAGCAATAGTTTGTCTTTTGCTGGCATATTCTGCAGTGAAAAAAGTTCATCCTTTAAAACTGTAAATCTAAGGAGTCTAATAGACAAATGTTGATCTATTTGCTGCTGTCATTCTACATCCCTGAAAGACTTCTCCATTCAATATGGGAGACATTGGGAGAGTTTGACCGGACATCGACTCCTTTCCAGAACATTCTAATAAGACTGGACTGGAGGGATTGATTTGTATTGTTCTGTACTGTATACAGAGTGAGTGGGGTTGATGGGATTTACTTTAATGCATGTATTACCAAATACACAAAGTACTTTTGTGTACTAATTGTAATTTTTTTCTTAGTGGCTTTGCATTCTCAAATATATTAACATACAAAAAGATCTTTAGCAGGTTTAAAGCAAAACTAGATTGAAACTGATGCTGTTATTTGTTTCACATTTTAACCAGCCTTATTTTAGCTATGTTAAAGCTTTTCGCATAAATTAAAATACCTTTGAACTTAACAGAACATTTTAATATTCACTGTAAATTTTTTTGTGAATTTATTATTCTTGATTGTACATAGTATGTGTGATTATTGTCTTCCATAAGTTGGTGTGTATCTTGTCTTAGTTGTATTGTTTTTCTCTTTTTTTTTCCTGCAGCTGTCTTGTTAAATATTACTTTCTTTTAATGCTGAAACTAATTTACCTAATACTTGTTTGTTTAATGGCTTAAAAAGTAACTATAACACAAGGTGAATGTTGAATGCTACTGCAGAAAATTGCAGGAATGTTTAAGTGCAGAGTGTTGCATAATATTGCTCACAAAGGGACAGTATATTTTATATATATATATATATATATATATATATATATATATATATATATATATATAGTTAAGAAAATAAATTTAAAGTATGCTAGTTTTAAAACTTAACATGTCCTGATTGAAATAGCCTAATTATAGTTTTAAAATCAGTAACTTATTCTGGCCTATTGACCTTTATGTTACCTGTAGTTACAGCAGATGGTTTGCTAGGATCGTTTGAACTGCCTTTTGTCTGTGTGGGAAACAAAACGGGAATAGTTCCAGCTTTTCACACTCATCTGTGAAAAGCCGTCAAACAGCAGGAGTTCCTGGCTTTAGAGAGAGGGTCAGAGACAGCTCCTGGTTGGATGAGCAAAGATACGCCTTATTTGAATAAATTAAAGATAAGAATACGCCTTTACTATAAAACTTTCTACACAGAAGTAACAAATTAGATTTGCTCTCGCAATTCTCCAAAGATGTCTTTGCTTTTCTTTCTTTCTTTTCTTCTTCTTCTTTCCATTTGTGTCAGGTAAATGAATGTATGTCTCTGTTCTGCAGTTTCTGTTGTAATTTTATGCGTTGTCTTCTATTGGATTAAACTCTCCAATTCTGTGTCGTCTGCACTCATTGTTGTCTTTGTGCGGCTACACGCGGCTCACCGGGAGAACCTGGGATAGAAGAAGATTGAGCCAAAGAGTTTTCTTAAGAAATATTATAACCTAAAATCTTCAACTATATATATATAAATATTCAATGTATTGAATAATTTTTAGGATTAAAGAGAGTAATGACATTTATACCATAGTACAGTGATGAATGCACTATGGGTTAAATATTGTATCTCTATAGTGCAAACCCATTACAGATTTCCTCTTTTTGTGTTTTTGTTGCACTGAAATGATCCAATACGCCCCCAAAAACCCAAGGCTACCACAGGCTGGTAACCCTGGTGTCTGGTAAGAACCAGCTGAGCCACCAGCCGGTACTGGCTGGTAGCTCAGCCTGTAAGAACCCCATAAATGAGCAATATGCTGCTGCCAGAATCAACCCCAGTCACCAATCTCTCGCACTGTATGACAAATATGTAGATGTGATGCTCGTATGATCCAGAAGGTGGCGGCAATGCTACAATATGAATGCTGACAGTCATAAAACCCGGAAGCAGAAGAGAAAGGGGAGGAAGAGGGAAAAGATGGCGCTGCTTTGTTTAATGTTCGAGTGTTTCTCTAAGCGAGTTTATCAACGAGTGGTTAACTGCTGCTGAAGAAACTTTCACAGAGTTAAAAGAAATCATCGTCAAGTCGGAGGAAGAGATGGATGATCAGCGCAGACTGCTGGATTTCTCCCGGACTCCCCAGATTATTTTACACCGGATAGGTAGGAAACACCAGCGTTTGGATGAAGGTTAATGTTTAAGTAAACCGATAAATTCATTAAGTGTAGAAATTAGTAAAATGTTAAAGTAGACATATCTTTTGTAATTCCAGATTTAAATATCATGAGAAATAAAAGAATACCATAAATTGATAGTATATACAGAAGTGTGAGAGGAAACGGTTATAATTTGTTCAGATTAAAGCGTTAATAAGTATTTAACACGTAACTTCAGAATCAAGGGGTTCACTCAGTTTTCAGGATTAAAAATTATGGATCTCAGTTTGAACTAGTACTGATTTCTGCCCACACTGGTGTGGTAGGAAATGAGTCGGTTGGTAGTTTTGCTAAAAGTGCTGCAAAAAATAAAATTGTTGATTTAAATGTTATAAGTAAAAATTAGATAAAGCATATTATAAAAATGTATATTAAGAACAAATGGCAAAAGCAATGCGATACAGGAGGTAGTGCTAGGTTTTATTATAGTATTCAAAAAGTTGGAGAATTTAAAAAAGGTAATACAATTAAAAAAGAAGATATTATATCCAGAATAAGATTTGGACATACAGGATTAAATAATTCTTAAAATAATTAATAAACATAATACAGGTTCTTGTTGTGAACAAATGGAAACAGTACAGCATATATTTTTAGAGAGTAATAAGCAATGCAATGTAATACGCAGGCAAAAGAAATCCAATGTTCAAACAACTAGAAGGTGCTTTTTATGGTTTATTATTATCCAATTTGGTGAGCAAATAAAGATCAAACTTGTCATTGTTTTTGGTTTCCTCTCCTGCTCTGGTGAAAAACCACAGGCCCAACCCAGTGCATGCTGGTTCTGCACCAGTCCATACACTTATAGAAAATAGACTCAGTTCTTCCTGTCTACCTTAGAGAAATAAATAATAAATAAAATAAACAGTTATCATACAAATAAACCACCAAAATATAAAGTGAATGATAAATAAAAATAAAGAATGCCTTCAACATAAGAAATACCTAAAAATTATAAAATGTACTTTTAATTAACAATAATGCCTAAATTAGTTTGTGCGTCTGTTATGAGATGAATAATTTAATAATGAGTAAAAGGGATTTTTTTTTAATCTGGTCATTTTGTAATTTCTGTAATAAACAATGAAAGTCTTCCCCCCATTTACTTTAATAAAGTTAACAATTCCTCTATTTTTCTGTTTTCTTGTCCAGATTGCCTGCAACATAACATTTATAAGGAGGAGCTATGTAAGCAGGAGGAGTTAGAACCTCTGCAGGTGAAACAAGAACAGGAAGAACCAGAAGATCATCAGATAAAAGAAGAGCAGGAGGATCTAGAACATCAGCAGATAAAAGTGGAAGTGGAAGAAGTTTACTGCAGTCAGGGTGAAGAACAGGTTCAGTTA